ATTTTTGGTAAATATTCGACTGTTTTTTACTCTTCTGTACAGTAACAGTATATGTAGGCAATCAGATGCAATTATGTTTGCGGTTTATGGAACGTCAAAAATTAAGCCAGTTCTGAAAATCGATTAAGCAGGAGGCTAGCTAAGGTGCAAGATAACTGATTGAATGGTTATCAGTATTTAATGTTTTGCTTACCGCCAAATACAGTGGAAAACGTTAAAAGTGATTAGTTCGCCTAGGTAAAGAAACCGACATATTCAAATATTTTTATATGTATATGATGGTACCGATGTTATAGATAGTAGAAAGAGCTGGGATTTTGAAAATTAACCACTTGTTTGTTTGTTTTTGCGCATTAATCAAATCTGTGACTCGAAATACGATTAAATGCGTCGTCTGTTAATTTCATTTTTCACAGGTACCTGGTGTCATATCCCCTAGCAGAGTACATGTATATGCATTTATGCGAATATCAGTAGCGTTATTTGCAGAAGCGATATTTGCATAAATAAATAATGATAACAGTATTCACATTTGAACATCGATAGCAAGAGCATTCTTTAAACTGTGGTGAAATTATTCCGAATACCGAATTCTGGGGCCAAGGTCTTTTTACCGCAAGATATTATAATCAAACCGCCGCAGGTTATCAAAGGCATTAAAGGTAACTTGGGCACTTTTAAATTAAGCATTGTTGTTTTTTAAACTAAAAATCTGGTTCCAGTTCTAATCAGGCTTTATGAATCTACATATTGTTTATATGCATAAGTATGTATGTGTGTAGATATATTTACTTATTTATTTTGTATCTCCACTGGCAGTATTCAAATCCGAGAACGCCCGAGTTTAATCCGAAGTTTCAGTAGTTGTTGTGCTTAGGTTCGGCCCTCCCGAAGCGCGTGTTGTGCGGAATATACATATGTATGCCTTACAAAATGGTATTTATATCGTGTATACATATATTAAAGCGGTCAAGCGGCGCGGCCAGAGACAATAAAAGCACGAACAGATCTGCCGAGAGAATCAGTTTTGTTTTAACCCAGAAATCGCAGCGTCCTAATACATTAATAAGCACACCAAAGCCATCAACCTAAATCCCAACATTTCCGGCTAATGCTTGTCTGGAATGAAAATCAGGATACAAACTACCTTTATTTGAATATTAACTTGCGGAAAGCGTTAAACGACCTGGCAACTGCGTCATTGGATTTTACTTTCATTTTAATTTTTTTTTTGTGTGTACATTTTTTAACTTCTGCCTGGTGATAATGCCTGGCAGTGCTGCCAACAAAGGCTATAAGTTTCAGAGCAGCACCGCTGTGGCTACTCCAAACGGCGGTGTTGAAGACGAGGCACGCACACAGGAGGTGGAATCCCAGAAAATTCATGAGAATGCTGTTGGACCAGCTAAGCGAAAAACAGGCTGGGATATTAAAGCATCTGCATTGTCCCTTAATACACATAATCGCATTCGTAATATTGTCGAAGCTATGCAGATTAAGCCGAATCCACATAAGGCCATGATACCGCTGTCCATAGGTGAGTATTGAAAAAGTTACTTATTTATTGAATGTGTTTGCGTTATACAACTGCAAGCTGATGCGTTTATGTTAATATGAATATGTAAAAATATTTGAAATTTTAATTTTATTTTATAAAATTCGCTGCGTACACTATACGTCAATTGAAATGTAAATACATATATACACTTGCTTGTGTGGATATTTCAGTTGCCACGCTCGCCTGGCTAGCTGGTTTCTTTGGGCCTTTTCAGACACTTCTCTAATCTCTCCTGACGAAGGTCTTTCGAGCTCGTTTTAATAAGTAGTATTTCTCTGTTTTTATGCTGAGTGTTAAAATATTGAAACTTGTTTGTTTAATTATGCTACCATATTTTATACCCTGAACCCATTGAAAACGTATTAAAAGAGTATAATGTTTTTAGGCAAACGTATGTAACAAGCAGTCGAAAGCATCTCTGACCCCATAAAGTATATATATATCTCCAGCATTAATAACCGAGTCGATCCAGCCATGTAGATCTATCCATCCGTATGTATAAACGCGTCGATCTCAGAACCTATAAAAGCTAGACTCTTGAAATTTTTAACAATGCCCCCAATGCCCGCACAGTACGAGTTTGTTCGGATAATCTATAACTTAACCCGTTTCAAATTGATAGAAATCGATATATAAATGCTGTTTTTTTAAGCAAATTTTAAAGGTTTTAAGAGCTAGTCACAAAATTTGATATGTAGCTTCTAGAATAGTATATACCGATCAAGTATCTTTCATTGCATACCTATCGCCAATGGCTGTAGAGTATGCGAGGGTGGCAAGTATTTCGGTTGGTTGAACGTAGCTGCGATTTCGCCTCCGCAAGGGGGAGCCTAATTTTTTTTATTTATGCTAAGGCAAAGGAGAGCGTACCGCGAGTAGCATGTGGTGTTGGTAGAAGAAAGTTCAGGGTATCCCCTAGACGGGTACTCGCGAATAGAGCGCTCTTGTTTTCTCTTTACTTTTTAGTCGTTTTTTGCAATATTCATATGCATATGTATGTGAATTTATACTATAAAACTTTTCCAGGGACCATAAGCATATGTTTGTGTATTCATTATATAAAAGACATATTTAGACTAACATACATATTCAAGAAAAACATGAAGTTATTAATTATAAAAATTTTTTTAGGAAAAAATCAAATGCATTTTTAAGATACCTACATATTGCGTGTTTCTTATTAATTTATTTCATACTGTTAGTAAACGTTAGAAGTGTGTATGTGTAAAGTCACAATACAAGGTGTGGACGGTTGTTACATATTATTATTTTTTCTATCATCGAGCGCGCGCGTTTTCGATGCATTTGCATAAAATGTAGTTTCACCTGTTTTGAGAATCAAGAAGCAAGATCAATAATCGAATTTGTTTAGAGTCAATAATGGAGGGCTATCACAGTCGTCTAACGTCCCAACTTGTCCCATATGGGTTTCAAGAATTGGAGGAGACTTGCAAAAACGATTTTTACGTGATTTAGAAAATTCCAAGTGTTATTTATGCTCGTACTTAGTTTACAATTGTTTCTCGACCTTCATGCGTTCTTCGGAAAATTGTTATTAACTTAGGCCCCATTACAGGCGATCCCACAACATTTGGTAATCTGAAGGCCGCCGATGAAACTATGAAGGCCGTGCTACGATCGTTGGAGAGTGGAAAGTTTAACGGCTATGCCCACACTCAGGGCCATGAAACCTCGCGCCAGGCGGTGGCCAAGTATAGTGCACATCAACGCCCTGAGGGGGTGATTGATCCAAGTGATGTATTGCTTTGCAGCGGCTGTTCCTCAGCACTGGAGTATTGCATATTGGCGCTAGCCGATCGTGGTCAAAACGTACTGGTGCCGCGGCCCGGCTTTTGTTTATACCATACACTTACTGAAGGCTTGGACATTGAGGTGCGCTATTATGAATTGCTGCCAGAGCAAAAATGGCGTGCCGATCTTGTCCAACTGGAGAGTCTTATCGATAAGAATACAGCCGCGTTGCTAATAAACAATCCAAGCAATCCTTGTGGTAGCGTCTATGAAGAAGCACATCTGCAGCAACTCGTGGCCATTTGCGAGCGCCACTATATACCTATAATTGCCGATGAGGTTCGTGAGAATTAATCGGTGCCCTGTTCTGTTGAATCTGTTGAATCTGGCGTGATATTGATGTATTTTTTTTCTTAGATCTATGAGCACTTTGTGTTTCCAGGCTCGCGCCACGTGGCGGTTAGCAGTGTGACGCGCGAGGTGCCAGTGTTGTCCTGTGGTGGACTTACAAAGCGCTTTCTTGTGCCCGGCTGGCGTATGGGGTGGATTATTGTGCATGATCATCATCAGCGTCTAGGAACTGCAGTGACGGGTCTCAAAAACATGTGTGGACGCATCCTTGGCTCGAATACGATCATTCAGGGCGCACTGCCTGACATACTAACCAAGACTCCGCAGTGCTACTTTGATAGAGTGATCGAGACGCTCTACGTGAGTGCAAAAAAAGTTTGACATGAAAAATGTCGCTAATTTTTAGTACAAATCCCCGTAGTCCAATGCTCAACTCGCTTACAAAATGCTAAAACAGGTGCGTGGACTTAACCCTGTTATGCCCAACGGAGCCATGTACATGATGATTGGGCTTTCTAAAGAGCATTTTTCGGCTTTTAAAGACGACACACACTTTGTGCAGGAGTTGGTTAACGAACAAAGTGTATTCTGTCTACCCGGTAGTTGTTTTGCTTATCCGGGGTATTTACGCATTGTTTTAACAGTACCAAGTGCTATGCTTGAGGAAGCCTGCGTCCGCATCGCCGAGTTTTGTTATGCGCACTATAAGAAAGATACCCGGGCACTGATAAAGGACAGATTATTAGAGGATTGAAGTTTGCACTACTAAGTGGAATGTGCAACATGCAACATGTATATTTATTAAATACTCTAGGTTAAAGTTGCTTGCATGGTATACAGGCATATATATAATAATAATATAATATAAGAATTTTATCTTTAAGAATGTGTAAAATCGTAACGCACCGACAGATGTATGTACATAAGCATAAGAGATTAAGAATCAGTTGTAAGAAATGCTTCACAAACATACATATTTATGTATGTAATTACATATGGATTTGAATATAAAGGTAACTTTTTTTTCGGATAATATGCATAAATGTGTGTACATACATATGTATATACTTACATCTATTGCTAGAGCTCTGATATGGAAGTGATGCTTGTAATATAATCTAGCCCATTCATCCATTGTGCATGAACAATGTACATTGAAAATGAGTAAAAAGTGTATAATGGTATTGAGTAAATGTATGTAACAGCCAGAAGGAAGCATCTCCGACCCCATTATATTATTCTTAATAGCCAAGTCGATCCTGTCATGTCCGTTTGTCTTTTGGTACGTATGAACGCGTCGATTTCAGAGCCTATAAGAGCTAGAAAAATTTTGAACGTAGGTCCTAGTCCCCGTGCAGTACGAGTTTGTTTTTAATAATCGACAAATTGCCTTGTTTCCAACCAATCAATGGATCAAGGTTTTAATAGCTATAGTCACCAAATTTGGCATGTAGCTTCTAAAATAGTATATGCAGACCAACATATATATTTAATTATAAAGCTCTCACCCTATCCTCCGCCCTATGGCTGGTAAAAAAATAAATAAATAAAATGAAACTATCCACCAACTAAAGCCACAATGCTGTTGTCTTTTTCAGAACATACGAATATTCTATCGCACAATAAGATGTACTGCTGAAAATTTCAAATTTCATTCCATCATAATCGATAAAGAAACACACAACTTAGTAAAGAAAACGTGTGGTTATATTGTCAAGCCACGTGGCTGCAAGCGCAAAGCGTAAGAATTTCTGTATGCATATGCACATATGTATGCACCCCTTATATGTCTGTATTTACGTACACGTGTAGTACAAACATAAGCACAATTGCACATAAACAGGTTACCTGGCATTAGTACAGTCCAGATAATTGTACACTCAAGTATGTACATATGTACATCTATACTAATCGTATATGTATCTATATTTTCAGTGTACAGGAAATAACTTATGGGCCAGTATGAGATAAAAAATATTTTACGATGTACCCATGTATACATATACATATGCATGTTATTGAATAATAACATTATTTTACAAAAACATGCGTCAATGCATTTGGATAATCATCCATCTACATATGATGGGGATGCATTTTCTTTTCCATTTGAATTTCAACGCGAGCCTCATCAATGCCAGCGACCGTTGGTAGTCCCCCTGGCCAATGTAATAACTCCGGTTCATGCTCCATAATTATATTCGCTTCGGCTGTAAACATAAATTAACAAATGGAAATCTTAAGAATTGCGTGGACATAAACTATCTTACAATAGCAGAGAATTTACCCTGTATCCGATGCAGTTTGCTGCCATAGGCCCAGTCCGTGTAGTATGCCATAACAAAGGTAAGTGGTAATAGCGGCGCCAGTGCTGAGGCACGCTTGACCCGCTGGTAGTAGCTAGCGCAGCCATAAAAAGCACTTAGATAGAAGCCGCTTAGCCAGTAAAAGAGTTCCCGATGCTGAGCAATGGCCAACGCCTGTTCCCGTTGCTTGATTTGGTAGTGCATCTGAATCCAGCGTTCCATCTGCATTCAATTTGTTAAGTTATCACTCCTTGAGCAATACAGGCTAGATAAGGAACTTGCCTTCAACTCCTGGCACTTGCGATACGCCGGATCATCATGCTCGGGATAACCCAGGGTTGGGGATTTATTATGCAAGGCCGTTGCGCCCATGTTATGTTTATGATGCCTGAAAACTTACGCTCTCTAATTTGGAGTTGCTGATGTCAGTCTGATATTGTTGTCATCGACCCGTTGCTGTAGATATCAATGCGCAGGCGCTGGGCAGAGCACATATTTTGTATCTGGCAGGATGGTTACTGTCCGTCAGTTGGTTCACTAAGACACTGCTCATTCAAGTTCGCGTTCGTGTACGTCTTTGAATTACCCGTTTACTGTTTAATGCAAAAAGTGTTTTTCTAGTTTTAAAATGTGTTCGTTTAATTGAAAAATTTTAGTTAAAGTTATTGTTGTTGAGCATGCAAGTGTATATGTGCAATTTCTAAAGATTGAATCATTTGATTCTTTTGCGCCTATTAAGGGTAGTGTTTTTTATGAAATGAGCGTAATGAAATGACACTGCCAAAAACTAAAAGTTTGTATGATGCGTTATGAAATATACTTACGTGCAATTCATGTATAAGAAATATATTTTGTATAAATTTTCACGGGGATAAATACGTTAATGAGATATCTGCAAATGTATACATACTTTTGCGGGTTCCTGTAAAGATAAGCATATATGTATGTATATATATGGACGCCTCTCTTTTGTTATCGAGGGTTGAAAATGTTTGAAAGGATCTGCAAGTTGCTTGAAATGTTCAGAGATTCCTGAATAATTGTTGCCTAACATTATATACAGACAGACAAGTTGGGATTATTTCGTCCCTCTATTTTAACCTGCGACCTTAAACAACAACCCGGGAGGAAGCAAGATGCGCTGCTTGAATGATTGACCGCTTACAGATTCGTCGCTTGGGTGCAGCTGCTAGAAAAAAACGCGCGGGAGGCGGAAGCAGCTTTCACACCGGCAGCGGCATTACAACGCCAGCGACAGCTAGCACCAGCTCCTCCAGCGGAAACAGTTTCACACCTCAGCAACATCTACTCTCGCAACCTCAGCAACACCAGCACTCGTTCATAGGGAGCTCCCAGCAGCAAATCAGTCAGATTAGCCTTAACCCATCGTCAGGTAGCAGCCCCTGCAACGGATTGGGCATACGTCAAGATGCATCCAGCGTGCTCAACAGTCCAACAACTATTGTAAACTCGGGCAGCTGCAACAGCACTGCCTACGGGATGCAACAGCAGGTTGGAGGTTTGTCAACAGCGGCGGTGACGAGTACGCCGACAATTATAGGCAGCCACACCGCAAGCAATGCCCTCAACAATGGAGCGGGAGGAACAGTTTGCCCAGTGGGAGGTGTTAGTGGAGGCCTCAATCTGCTGGGCAGCATTGGCGGTCTGGGAGGTGGTGCCGCAGTCGCTGGTATGGGCATTTGCGGTGGTATAAGCAGCACCGTGGGCAGTGCTGCTATTACAGGAGTGCCGCCAATCGGATTGGGGATTGCCACAGGAATTGGGAATAAGATTATGTTGGGTCGGAAGCAAAGCCTCAAGGGCGGTGAACCCTTTCTAGCTGACTACGGCCCGGAGGAATCGTTAAACGAGAGCGCCGATATTGAGTGGGTGAACAAGTTGTGGGTGCGACGATTGATGCGTTTGTGCGCGTTAATCTCACTGGCGTCCGTCTCCTTAAATACGCCGAAGACCTTCGAGCGTCATCCCTCATTGCAGTATATCACTTTTGTCTTAGACACAGCTGTGACAGTGCTATTCACGGCCGAAATGATTGCCAAAATGCATATTCGTGGAGTTCTAAATGTGAGTCACGGCCCAAATCGAGTTAGCGGACCGTTCACGCTTCATTTGCTTATTCCAGGGCGAGGTGCCTTACCTTAAGGATCATTGGTGTCAGTTTGATGCCTCCATGGTAAGCTTTCTCTGGGTCTCCATCATACTTCAAATATTCGAAGTGCTTGAAATCGTACCTAAGTAAGTATTCAGTGAAGTATTCTTACTGAATTAATTTCTAAATTTCTAGACCTTTTTTCTTACAGATTCTCCTACTTATCCATTATGAGGGCTCCGCGTCCGCTTATTATGATACGCTTTCTTCGTGTTTTTCTTAAATTTAGTATGCCCAAGAGCCGCATCAATCAAATCTTCAAGTAGGTAGTTAATTCTAGGACTCGAACAAGTGTCTTATACCTTGCCTTTCTATTTATAGACGCTCAAGTCAGCAGATTTATAATGTGACGCTATTCTTTTTGTTCTTCATGTCGTTGTATGGACTTCTCGGTGTGCAGTTCTTTGGAGAGCTGAAAAATCATTGTGTTATGAATAACACCGGTTATGATCAGTTGGGCAGGCCGTAAGCATGCAGTATACAACAACAATAGGATTCTTCTAAAACATCTTATATCTTATTAGTGTACTCACAATTAACTCATTGGCGATACCAGACACATTCTGCTCAATGGATCCTGACTCAGGCTATCAATGCTCGCCGGGCATGCGTTGTATGAAGATGGATTTTTTGAGTAGCTACGTTATAGGCTTCAATGGCTTCGAGGACATTGCGACAAGTATTTTTACAGTATATCAAGCCGCCTCGCAAGAAGGATGGGTTTTTATTATGTACCGCGCAATAGACTCGCTCCCAGCATGGCGTGCGGCATTCTACTTCAGCACTATGATTTTTTTTTTAGCTTGGCTGGTTAAGAACGTGTTTATAGCTGTCATAACGGAAACTTTTAACGAGATACGCGTACAGTTTCAACAGATGTGGGGAGCTAGAGGCCACATACAAAAGACGGCTGCTTCTCAAATACTTAGCGGAAACGATTCGGGCTGGCGATTGGTCACAATCGATGACAATAAGCATGGCGGATTAGCGCCTGAGACCTGCCATGCAATTTTGCGCTCTCCATATTTTCGAATGCTGGTTATGTCGGTTATACTCGCTAATGGTATTGTGACGGCCACGATGGCATTTAAGCATGACGGTAGGCCACGTCATGTATTTTATGAGAGATATTACTACATAGAGGTGATATTTACGTGTCTCCTCGATCTCGAAACAATGTTTAAAATCTACTGCCTGGGTTGGCGTGGCTATTACAAGCATTCTATACACAAGTTTGAGCTGTTGCTTGCAGCGGGTACTTCACTACACATAGTTCCCATCTTCTATCTGTCTGGATTGACTTATTTTCAAGTGCTTAGGGTAGTGCGACTCATAAAAGCCTCTCCCATGCTAGAAGGCTTTGTGTATAAAATTTTTGGACCCGGAAAAAAGCTAGGCTCGCTTATAATCTTCACCATGTGCTTACTAATCATTAGCTCGAGCATTTCAATGCAACTATTTTGCTTTTTATGCGACTTCACCAAGTTTGAGTCATTCCCGGAGGCGTTTATGAGTATGTTTCAGATTCTAACGCAAGAGGCGTGGGTGGAGGTCATGGATGAAACTATGATACGCACTAGTAAAACGCTGACACCGCTAGTAGCCGTTTATTTTATATTATATCATCTTTTTGTTACGCTCATCGTGCTCAGTCTTTTCGTAGCGGTAATATTGGACAATTTGGAGTTAGACGAGGACATTAAGAAACTAAAGCAGCTAAAGTTTCGCGAGCAAAGCGCGGAAATTAAGGAGACCCTTCCCTTTCGATTACGAATTTTCGAAAAGTTTCCAGACTCACCACAAATGACCATTCTTCATCGCATTCCCAATGATTTTATACTGCCCAAGGTGCGTGAGAGTTTCATGAAGCATTTTGTAATTGAATTGGAAACGGAGGACCCATCGCTTGTGGAGAACTGTAAACGGCCGATGTCTGAGTGCTGGGAGTCCAATGTTGTCTTTCGTAAGCAAAAGCCAGTGCGCATTATGAACAAAACCGCAAAGGTCAGAGCCGCAGGAAGCAGCCTCCGAAAATTGGCCATCACTCATATAATAAAGTAGATACCAAGAATATATAGCAGTTGATATGAAATAACAATCATTTGTTTACCTCAGTGACAGTAACAATCAGCGTCTTATGCTGGGTGACTCGGCCATGTTGCCAGTGGTGGGCACTAAGGGCGGCCTAAAATCACAGGGTACCATTACACATTCCAAGCCATGGCGGGTTGACCAAAAGAAGTAAGTAAAATTTGCCCAAAGGTGGCGTGATTCGTTTGATGTGTGTTCGCTACCAATTTACAGATTTGGATCCCGCTCCATACGTCGCAGCGTGCGCTCTGGATCTATTAAACTAAAGCAGACATATGAGCATCTCATGGAGAATGGTGACATTGCTGCTGCACCTCGCGCCAATTCCGGCCGGGCTAGGCCTCACGACCTAGATATCAAGCTGTTGCAAGCGAAGCGTCAGCAAGCAGAAATGCGACGCAATCAGCGCGAGGAAGATTTACGTGAGAATCATCCGTTCTTTGACACGCCGCTGTTTCTTGTGCCTCGAGAGAGTAGTTTTCGCAAGATCTGCCAAAAAATCGTTCATGCACGCTATGATGCGAGGCTCAAAGATCCATTAACTGGAAAGGAGCGCAAGGTGCAGTACAAGAGCTTGCAGTAAGTGAAAGTTTAATGTGGTCTAGTGATATTATTAATTTATATTATTTGCGTACCATTAGTAACTTCCTTGGTCTTGTCACTTATCTTGACTGGGTTATGATTATTGCTACCACTCTTTCATGCATCTCCATGATGTTCGAGACCCCGAGTTATCGTTTAATGGATCATCCCACGCTGCAGATCGCTGAATATGGTTTTGTTATTTTCATGAGCCTGGAACTTGCTCTGAAAATTCTTGCTGATGGTTTGTTTTTTACACCTAAAGCTTACATCAAGGATGTGGCTGCAGCGCTTGACGTTTTTATATACGTAGTTTCAACTTCATTTCTTTGCTGGATGCCACACAACATACCCACCAATTCGGCGGCCCAACTGCTGATGATTCTACGCTGCGTGCGTCCGTTGAGAATCTTTACGCTGGTACCGCACATGCGAAAAGTGGTCTATGAGCTATGTCGCGGCTTTAAAGAAATCTTATTGGTTTCAACGTTGTTGATTCTTCTCATGTTCATCTTTGCTAGTTACGGAGTACAGCTTTATGGTGGTCGTTTGGCACGCTGTAACGATCCCACAATAATTCGTCGTGAGGATTGCGTTGGTGTATTTATGCGACGCGTATTTGTCACTAAAATGAAGCTGACACCGGGTCCAGACGAATCCTATCCGGCCATGTTGGTGCCGCGAGTATGGGCCAATCCCCGTCGCTTTAACTTTGACAATATTGGTGATGCCATGCTTACACTCTTCGAGGTGCTATCGTTTAAGGGTTGGTTAGATGTGCGCGATGTTCTCATTAAAGCCGTTGGACCGGTAATGACAAGTAAAACATATAGTTTTTAAATTTTTAAATCACACATACTATTTCAGATTCATGCTATTTACATCCATATCTATATATTTTTGGGATGCATGATCGGCTTGACTCTATTTGTTGGTGTAGTCATCGCAAACTATTCAGAGAATAAAGGCACAGCATTGCTCACCGTTGACCAGCGCCGATGGTGTGACCTAAAAAAGCGTCTTAAGATCGCTCAGCCTCTTCATTTGCCTCCACGTCCGGATGGACGAAAGATTCGTGCCTTTACTTATGACATTACTCAGCACATTATCTTCAAACGGGTCATTGCTGTGGTAGTGCTCATCAACAGTATGTTGCTGTCTATAACGGTAAGTAAAAACTTGCAGCGGTTTCGATTGAGATTTACAGTTCTGAATTTTCAGTGGATCAAGGGCGAAGTCCACACGGAGCGTCTAGTCATTGTTAGTGCTGTCCTGACCGTTGTTTTTGTCGTTGAAGTGGTTATGAAAAACATTGCATTTACACCTCGTGGCTATTGGCAATCCAGGCGTAATCGATACGACTTGCTTGTAACCGTTGCTGGCGTGATCTGGATTATATTACAAACAATTCTCAGGGTATGAATACAGTCACTGGCAACTTCTGATCAAGCAATCTTTTGATTGCTAGTCACGTTAAATATTATTCCATAACTTGTATGTATCGATTAAACAGGGTACAAAGGTAACATTAGTCTTATGCAAATATATGTATCAGACAAAGGAGGAATCCCGCCGCAAAGTATGTACGTTCTTGATAAAAAAAAAACGCGTCAGTTAATCAAGAATACATTTCCCATAGTGTGGGAACACTAACAAGAAGCATACAAGTATATACAAATACGTATATTTACACACGTGAGACAATATGAACCACTAACATGAGTAATGCTCATACATTGAAATTAAAATTTCCGCTCTTCAAGGCGAGTTACATTTGTTCACTGAAAGCCAAATGAACGAATGCCGAAATCACGGCTGACGAGTGATATAAAATAATGAAACAAGAACGAGCTAAAATTAAAGAATTTCGCAGTTTCCTGTAGTGTGAGCGATCAAAAGATATCATATGTATATCTTACTCGCTCGTTGGACCAGATGCATATTTTTTTGGAGACCAAATTTCTGCTACGGCATGTCCCATCTATACGTTTTTTGGTTAGTGGTCTTATCGATTTTGAAGTACATTGAGCAAAAAAGCTTTGTACTTAAGATCGGCGCCCAGTATATTTGCTTAATAATAAAATTAATCCCTAATATGATTTTATTTATTACCCTAGATACAACTGTTGAATGCAAATTGCAATAATCTTCATGCAATAGTTTGCATGTGTGAATTATGCATACATAAGTATATCAAAATATGTATGTTGTGTTGTTATTCATTGCGTTGTCTTTGTCATTGGAAAAAGTATTTTTTTTAGTTTTCTTTTCGGGTTAACAATGACTTATCCCAAAATATATATATATATATTTTACTATATATGTACATATATACATTAATATATTGCGTACAAAGGCTTTTTAAATTTAAATACAAATTTGGGATGTCATAGTCGGCACAAGACATGTAACAAAACTGCAGTCAATAACAACACTTACAAACTTGATTTGTTGTATGTACCTACATACACATGTCAACACAAGTTCTCGCACGGTAGATGAAAGCACATTATATTTTTAGTATTTTCGCTCTCTAAGTGGTGTCTCTCTGACCCATAAAGTGTATTATATTTGATCAGCATCAATAGCCGAGTCGATCTAGTCATGTCCGTCCGCTCGTATGTCCGATCTCAGAACCTATTAGACCTGCAGAAATTTTGAACGCAGTTCCTCCTAGTCCCCGAGCAGTTTGAGTTTCTTTCATATTAGCAATAATTCGCCTCGTTTCTAAGCGATCGACAAAAATTAGAGTCACAAAATTTGACATGTTTGACATATCGTAAAGTACATGCAGATTAAGTATACATCTTTCCTAAGGCTTGAGCAATCTAGGGTGTAGCGATATGCTTTTTGTTTTGGTAGAAGAAGATTCAGGGTATTTTCTTTCAATTGTTCTCAATTTTGTGAAAACCATGCTGCATGGTTGCATTTGGTGGCTTTGATTTACTCATCTTAGTAATTTTATTATCTGGGTGCAGTCAGTAAGCATTCAATACATAGAGTGGTCAAATCGACAAAGCGGTGGACAGTTTTATTCCCCCGTAAGCGCCCCAGCGTTAATTTCTCCTATTTTGTTACTTGTTCTCTTCTGATTAATTATGTGTTTTTTTTTTAGAACGATTTATCGTACTTCTTCGGATTTATGGTAGTTATTCTACGGTTTTTTACTATCACTGGAAAACACACCACACTAAAGATGCTCATGTTAACAGTCGGTGTGTCCGTGTGCAAGTCATTTTTCATCATCTTTGGAATGTTTCTATTGGTATTCTTTTATGCCTTGGCCGGAACCATTCTATTTGGTAAGTCAGCCACCGGTAAAACAAGAAGAGTCTATTAGTATACTAACTACCCATTAAAAATAGCTAAAAATTTTATTTTTGTGCAAATTTATGTAAGATGCAAAAGGGATAATATCCGAACCCGAAAATATTATAATTTGTTGACCGCACGACGAGCTCAATTGATCTAGGCTGTGTTTATGTCCGTCTGGCTATATGTTCTACCCTACCCAATTTCTGTATATGTGTGTTCATATTTCAATGCGATATTTGTGTGTGTTTTTGTGTATGTATTTATTTAAATAAGTTTTAATGCTTGTTACGGCAGTCCGTCGCTTGTTACGGAGTATCGAGACTACAGCACTTTTCCTTACTAACTTTTTGCTCTAGGTACCGTCAAGTATGGGGAAGGTATTGGGCGACGGGCGAACTTTGGATCACCGGTGACGGGTGTGGCAATGTTGTTTCGTATTGTCACTGGTGAGGATTGGAATAAGATCATGCATGATTGTATGGTGCAGCCTCCATACTGCACCCTAGGTGAGAATTACTGGGAAACGGATTGCGGAAACTTTACAGCAAGTTTGATATATTTTTGCACATTTTACGTGATAATTACGTACATTGTGCTTAATCTACTAGTGGGTATGTAACATATGAATTTCTACAAAACATATTCTTTTATGATATATCTCGCGCAGCTATTATTATGGAGAATTTTTCTCTGTTCTACTCGAATGAGGAGGATGCTTTACTGTCCTATGCAGACATACGCAATTTTCAGAACACTTGGAATATTGTGGACATACATCAGCGCGGAGTTATACCCGTTAGAAGAGTAAAATTCATTTTGCGGCTTTTGAAAGGCCGGCTGGAGTGTGATCCTCAAAAGGACCGGTTGCTATTTAAGTACATGTGTTATGAACTAGACAAGCTTCACAACGGCGAAGATGTAACCTTTCACGATGTAATTAAGTAAGTAAGACTGATTAAGTCTTCATAAAATCGATTAATATTTCTAAAAAACATGTATTAGCATGCTATCGTATCGCTCTGTAGACATACGTAAAGCGTTGCAGCTGGAGGAACTGCTGGCGCGTGAGGAGTTCGAATACCTGGTGGAAGAGGAAGTAGCCAAGATGACAATTCGTACCTGGCTTGAAGGTTGTCTAAAGAAGATACGGGCGCAAAATGCTAGCGTAGGCTTTAATTCATGCTTTATATCTGAGTCTTGTCAAATTTGTTATATATTTTTTACTGACCCTTACAGAAACAACAAAACTCACTGATTGCAGGATTACGTGCCACTAATGAGCAGTTGGTGATGCGTGCCAATGCGCAGGAGGACAAAACGTCCAGTGGAATATTAGAAAAATCAGCTATAAGCACCATAAGTGGTGCAGTTGCTGGTACTTGCCCGCCCACAAGTGATGCTTTCTCCCCAACTTTAAGCTCGACGGAAAATGATGAAAAGGATGTCAGTAGTAGCGCAGTGGTGCTTCCTCACACTGATTCACATGTTTCTAGTGTTCGCCATGTCATGTCAGTTGGCAAGCGTGCATATGCTCTTAATCGCAGCGACTCAACTGGTAGTTCGGCAGGGAGAAAATTTTTGGCACCCACATCTAGCGATCCACAGCAGCGCTCAACACTGAGTGATAAGGAGCGACTACACATTAGCAGCCAGCAGCGTAAAAAAAATTCGATGACTACACTACCGCATGTTGTCCAGCTGGGTCAGTTGGGAAAACAGCGTGAGACAAACAAGTCATCCAGTTTTTTTTCGCAGCTAAACAGCGAGATTGGACAGTTTTACTATCCGACCATTAACGCGACTGCTGTTGCTGTTGCCGCACTGCATACCTTTGCGGATCATCATCAGCATCTTCATGGACCACTGAGTAGCCCCTCGGCCCTAATAAGTCAGCTAATTGCAGGCAGTGGAAAACTGCTACCATTCAACAATCAGGCAAACGCTGTATATGAGGTGCATGACTGGTGGCAAGAGCAGGTGCTGTGCTCGCAGACAAGCGACGATGAGGTATAAGAAGAAAAGGCACAAGGAATTATACTTGATTACGACGAGAGCTATACACATTCTCATTACCATGCATCCATAAATTCGAAACTAGTAGCCTAGAAAATTTTATATATGCTTTCTAATGAATGAAAACTGGCATATTGTTCTGAGAATCTGACATACGCATAATATACTATATATGCATGTACATATGTATTGGTGTTGTTGCCTTTGCACTTCTCTTAGTAGCTACTCAGTTCGTAATAATACTTAAAAGTTATACATATATTACTAATTAAAATTGCCTAAGCAGTTTACTGTAGTGGGAGCGAAATAAAAAACAGCGATGCCGTTCTATCACACAAATCATAAGGATTTATTACTCTCTGAGCAAGTGAGCGAGTCTCGGACTCGAACCAAAACGAAGTCGGCTCTGGACCAGAAATCTAAAAAATGAATGGCTACAATCTTTTCTTTCCATCTGTATGTTGTATGGTTAGTGGCATTGAGTAATAAAGAGAAAGAGGAGGCTATTGGATTAAAATCTCTTTTCCAAAATACTTCATGAGCGATACCGATGTTGCAAACAAAAACTGCAAACACAACGCCCGGCTGTCTACAGCTACTTCTGCCGTTGTCCAAAAAATCAAAGACAACTTCAGAGAATTAACCTTAAGAACCAACAACAAAAAGAATCAAAACAAACGACTCGACAATGAAAAAAGCACACCACAAATTCTGGCCCTGCTATCCCTTTTTGGTTTGAGGCTACAGCCTATGATCCTAGCTTCTGCACTCTTCTAACTTATTATTGTGGTTTCTAAACACTGCTATGCCTATAGTCCTAAAGCAATAAACCTTCTTATATACAAATTTTTATCCAATGTCTGGGAAAAATATCATTACGTTTTTCGTGTGCAACTATTGCTTGCTGCCGCCTCTACGCAGCAGCCACACCAGCCAAAAAAAAAAGTAGCTTCTTCAGCAGGGTTCGAACACGTAACTTTCCGCGCTACTTTCCGCCGACTCTACTCAATAGCCACACCAATAATTCAGTGTTAATGAGAAAAAGCGAATTAAAATAGCAGCACAGAAAACAATACATTCGCAATTGCAATGCTGTTGATAGAATTCAAAGCAGACGCGCATGAATGTGTGTGTGTACATGTATACAGAAATTCTTGGAATTTGCGCTTGCTGCTGCACGTGTTTGCAGGCCAAAACACATTTCCTTCGTGTTTCTTAACCGATCTTGATGAAATTTTCAGAAGAAGATCTTATTATACCATAAAATATTTGTGTATTCTCAAAATAACAATTGCATTTAAATTGTGGCTTAATTAGTTAGGCGATACAAGTTGGTTTACTAACATGATTTATAGCTTTATGGTGGTAGCGGGGAGGTGGCGATAGCTACCTATGAAAGGTACGATAGCTATGAAAGATACTTGATATATATATACTATTCTAGAAGCAACATGTCAAGTTTTGTGACTTTAGCTCTTATTATTTAGCAAAATTGCTCAAAAAACAGGATTTCGATATCGATTTTTATCGATTACTTGGAAACGGGGCAAGTTATCGACTATCAGAAACAAACTCGATCTGCACGGGGACTAGGAGGAACTACAGCTAAACTTTCAAGACTCTAGCTCTTATAGGTTCTGAGATCCTTGCGTTCATACATACTGACGGACGGATGGACAGACAGACGGACATGGCTAGATCGACGCGGCTATTAATGCTGATCAAGAATATATATACTTTATAGGGTCGGAGATGCTTCATCTTGCCTGTTACATACATTTGCACAAATACATTATACCCTTTTTACCCATTTTTAATGGGTTCAGGGTATAAAAATAGAAAAATAAGAATTTCTTAAAAACTGGCTGGACGATTTTCTTGAAGTAAAAAGCAAAATGATTGATAATTCGCGATCTATATGTTAAACTACCGTAAATTTAAGGCCATTATCAGTGATAAATAAAATTAGGATGAATAATATGTTGAAATATTGCCACCTTTTTGTTATTACACTGTGTATAAATACATAAATGCACTGCTGCCTTATTTAGTAGCAGTCTATATTTCCAAAGATAATGTTTTATTGTAAAATACCAATTATTTCATTCATTACTTCTTTTCTTTCACACATACAAATATTTTGAATTAATTTGATCCCTCTCAATACTGTATAACATTATTCAGCACTGATTCCAAGCAGTGGTTCGGTTCACGTTGGAGCTAGTAGCTCGATAGGCATTTTGAAAGAACAACATGAGGTGTGTTTACATTTTATTATTTATCTAAAAAACTGGCTGATCGATTTGTTTAGAATTAGTGCGTAAGGCTTCCCAAAACATGTATCTTCAAGTTAGTATAGCGTGCATTGAGGGCCATTATCCCTGAGGAAAGATATTAGGGCTTAGGTGCAAGGCTAATTTTTTACGGTCATTTTGTATGGTGCTAGCAACGAGGTTGCTGCACTGCTGTACAAATTTCATAAAAACGTGCTGTTCGATTTTTATAATTTTTTCAAGGTTGGTTATGTGAAATTATAGGCCTTAATCGTGTATATGCGGTTTTCGGGGCCATTATCCCTGAATTAAGATATTTAGAGAATGCTGGAAACCTAATTTTTCAACCCCTTGGTATACCCATATTATAAATTAAAATTCCAAAACAATTGAATGTAGACAGTAAATCATTTAATTTTTGTGTAATTCTGCATTTAAGTAATAAGGGCATTTTAAGATATGTATGTATGTGTGTATTGTTCGTAAAAGTATTCAAATTTTAAACTTTTATATATACTAGGCCACAGATGACGGGCTTGCGAGGCGGTTGGAACAGTCTGTCGTCCTCCGCATGGCTCCTTGGCTGGTACTTGTACTATTTTAATTTTTTTCCTTTTTATTTCGTCGTATATCGTCGTCCTACCAGCCACTGATAATTATGTGTTATTAAATGTGCTAATAAGTTTTGGTGCCCGACGTTTACTGGTGGTCCTCGACAGATATAATGTTTAAAATACACTTTATTTTTTGTGTGGCCAGAAATTATAAAACGGTAAAACCGCCTCTCAAATTTGACTCCCCCTTGCTATGGGCAGCAACGACACTTATATCCTAATTTGCCTACCCATGCACTCACATTTTCAGTGCATTGCTACCCATAGGCACGATCCGCATGGGTAAGTCATTGACCGCGTAGGCGAAGGGCATCATCAAGGGCATATGATTAGGTCATGCATGATTAGCGCTAGAAAACTAACAAAATTGAATTCTTTGCCAGCTAAAGCCAGAGCTGTGAATATTAACACATATATACATATTTTGATGTAGTTATGCATGCATAATTCATACATACAAACATAGTTGCTTGTACATCATTGGCTGAGACAAGAACTTCTCTCGAGCATACACTGTCCAAAAACAAAAGTGAAATCAATCTGTGTGTGCTATTTGTGAAAAAATTATATTATTCTTAAATTTTCCTATAAAATTTATCGTAAGTATCTAGGGTAATGTAGCATTAAAGCAAAAGTACTTTGCGTCGATCGTAAGTTTATAACTTTTTCGCGCAATGTACTTCGAAAACGAAGCGACGCAAAGCATCATCGACCAGCTTTGCTGCAGGCAGGCTGGCGACTAACTTCGTTAATCGTGTTAGCATCAGCAAGCCGCGACTTCGGCATTCGTTCGTCTGAACGAACAGCCGTCGGCTAGCATGTCGTTTGAAGTCATAAAAGCCAGATAGGAAGCCAGGCTAGAAATTTTGCGTCACATGCAAATGTATGGGCGTTACTCATCTTAGTTTTTATATTGTCTTAGTTTTTATATTGTCTTTGGTTATACTATGTAATGCAGCTTATGCATAACAGAGGTTCAAAATTGTGTTGTTGTGAATAGTCACTCCTCCCCACTTAAAATAACGCGTGTTCTCACGCGTGTAAGGTTTATAAAAAGGTAAATATAATAACAAAATTTTCTTTAAATGGTTGGATAACCATTTAAATTTCAACTGGTCGTTGTACAGGTTGCTGATCAAAAAGAGTTTCTTAACAAATATTCGTTTGGCTATTTTTTTAAACTTAAATGCTAAATACCTTACTATGATTAATATGATGAATACAAATATTATAATTATTATAATTTCGAACATTTTTATTTCTTTAGTATTTTCGAAAATTATTTCTTTTGTTTGAATGTACGAAGGTGGTTTTAATATGGTAATATTATTTCTTACGTATATACTTTGTGTTCAAATTGGTTATAGATATCGCATTAAGTATTACCACTAACCAAATAGCATATAGACTGGACAACCAGCACAATTGATGGGGACAAGCGTTTTCAGTGCGGCTGGTCCAAAGTCGCCTTCGTTTTTGTTCGGGTTCGAGACATGCTCGCATGCTCTCACAGCAAGAGAGTAAGAATACATATGACCTGTGTCTCTCTACACTCCTCCTACACTACTCTACAGGAAACTGCCTTGACTTACTCTCATCGATATGATCACGTCCGTTCACTCAGACCATTTACTTTCGTCTGTCCACATCAATTCTTTGCCTCGCAACGCAACGATTACCAACGAAAATAAGCGGTAACCGCTTTTGCTTCTTGCAACGCATCGAAAACCAGCGGTAACTGATTTTTCTTCTTGCAACGCTTTTTTTGTGTCCTTACACGAATCAGCTGACAAAGAACTGCACACCAACAACACTATGCACGGGCCACATTCAGCGAGGGAGAGTAAGAGTCGCTCTCTCTCTCTCACCGACTCTCAGTGATTCGAATTCACCACACAAGACTACGATAACTGTTTTTCTTCTCTTCTTTATTCTTATTATTCTTATTACAATTACTACTTATTTCTCCCTTCGGTACATACATACATTCTTTGACATATTTATTAATGGTCGACAAGATGTGAGTCTTCCTAATTATTTAATACATTATACATACATTATGAGAATTAAATCCTAAAAGCCTAGTTAAAATACACAAGGTGTTTTATTTGCCCGTCCGGCCAGCTATGCCCCTTTTCACAGCTAATTTTGTCAGTGACGCTATCAGAGCCTACAGCTAAGAAGAAGGGTGTAAGTAGAGAAAATGTTCTTATGTAAAATTAAAAATAATCTTAATAATAATTGGAAAAAGAAAGAAAGAAGTTATTAATAAAGTAAAGAAAATTAAACTAGATATGTAGAGTGGTATGTAGATAGGATAAAGAGATAGTAATGGGAAATCACTTGAAAATGTATAGCCTGTGCGGCAAGCTATGCCCCTACTCATAGCTGGGAATGGTCAGTGAGTTCCCGAAGGTATCCTGAAAGCAACGATTTTATTAGGGGTAGATAA